TCACAGAAGTGATATTAAATTCAAGTTAACGTTTTAAGGAAAAGTGCAGTTTCTGGGTATAATACAGCCAGGATCAGTTAAGCTGGTGATGTTATGAGCAAATATCAGGGTTCGTGGGTGAATATGGCCGCAGCTTATGACAATCTGCATAAGCAGATCCAGAGGAGGGTGCAGGGTGCGCAACCCCACACCCCACGCCCCTTTTGTCTTGGAAAGTTTATTGAATATTTATTAATAGTCCATTAAAACTCTCATGAAAACGGGTGAAAAGGAGGTGCAAGTCCCCCCCCACCCCACCCCCATCACGAGGCCATCCCACCACCAGACGTTCTGACATGGACTTCTGCAGTGTACATTCCATTTACAACAATGCTCTGGGACTTCGAAACGTAACGACAGGCGAATGGATATCTAAAGCAGTAGGTCACGAAAGACCCACGTCATTGTCACAACCTGGTCAAATACATGTCCACCTCCCCAGAGATGAAGGTCGGTTGTTGGACAACTACTCTGTGAAATAACGTGTACTCCTTGTCGCCATACTGTCTCTGGGCGGGTTAGTAATTATTCGCAGTGTGTGCATATAAATACATGTATTAGATTATGAAACTTGTATCATCATCAACCCATTCAATTTCAGCGGGGAAACATCCCTTACGTATATTGATATCTAGAAAACAGATAACAATTCGAACGCCAGGGACTGACGTACCTAAGGAGTTATTATATGTAATACCAGGAGCCAATCATTTCTTTTCTGTCACGTTTACAAAAAGGACTTGATAGGTATCACCGTTTATCTTTTGCTGCACTCGTGGTAAGTATATGTTGTCTTAGCCAGTGATTGTGTGTCTGAGAGTCAACGTATCTCCTTCTCCACCCAATCAGTTGTCGTATGGATGCAAAGAGGTAAGTTATCTGTGTTAAATGGATCTTTCCAGCAAATTGTCTAGAATAACTAACAAATAACGGACGCAAGTCCAGTCGGAAAAATAGTCTTGTGTAGGTTCCTTTGTGTGTATTGGACAAAGAAAAGCTAGGCGTGCAGTGGGATAATAGTGCGTGTGTGTGTGTGTGTGTGTGTGTGTGTGGGTGGGGAGTTTGGTTTTGCAAGATAAAGCACATCACACAAGAGAGGTATTTCTTACTCCTGCAAACTCTGAGCAAAGTTTATGGACCATTCACGCCATCTGAATCATCCAGTGGTCGACGATAGGGTTTTGTCTTAGTGGATGAAGTTGGTTGTCACATTGGAGGTTTCAGGTGAAGTGTTATTGGATTTTACGTCGTGCTTGAGAATATTTCGCTCATATGACGACGTGCATGCGCGTGTGTATGTGCGGCTGCTTGTACTAGCCCAGACTTAAGCTGGTTTTATAGTGCTAGCCCACCGAGATACCATGCCGCAGTGAAGCATGGATACCCCACTCATACACATTATACTGACTCTTAGCCGACCAGTCCTTGTTGTACCCATTAATGCCGAGCGCCAGGCAGGGACCAACAAGTACCATATTTTAACGTCTTTTGGTATGACGCGGTCGGGGATCGAACCCGCGACCTTCCGCACTCCGGGCGGACGCTCTAACCACTACACCACGGAGGCGGCCTTGGAGGTTTCAGAGCTTTGGTGACAGCATTAGTGTTATTGCGTCTGTGAGTGTGCATCTTTAAAGGAGAAGGTGTGTTGGCGTAGACGATTACTCGTTACTTAACATGTCAACTAAACTATCCGTTGTTACCATCTTAGCCACCATGCAGACATCTATGTACATAAGCAGAGCAACAGTTAATCTGTTTTGACATGATCATGGTGCACAGCATCAAATGATAACTTCTACACCACTGCTTAAATAATTGTTGTTGAAACAATGTTGTAAACTTATGAATTTTAACAGAAGCAATTAATTACCATGACATATATGGCTTCATATACTGAGCAAAACCGGAAAACTGGACACTCGGGAGTTTTGGACTAGGTTTTTAATGTTATGTTTTTGACAATAATTTTAGTTGTATGCTGTGCATAGAACATCTTGACATCAACGGAAAGCAAATGGATCTTAGAACGTTAGTAAACACACCCCGAGGAAGACGTCGTCATTGCTCAAAACTGACGTTGAAGATCTTGCAACGTCTGTGGTGGATTGACTTACTGACGAACACGTCGACCCAGTTCGATAGGACTGAGGTCGGGGCTACGCGACGGCCAATGCAGAACTTGAATACCGGCATTTCGTAGAACATTCTATGTATGGACTTTAAGAATTATCGTATGCGATCTAGCGTTGTCTTGTTGGAACGTCAGTCCAGGGCCATGTCTGTGCATAAATGGTAGCAAGACCGGTTGCAAAATCTGATCCATGTACTTGGCAGTATTTAAGTTCCCTCGAAAGGGGAGAAGGTCCGTGTGCACAAAACAAACCCCATACTATTACGCTGCAGCCCGCAAATCTGTATACTTCACAGGCGCAGACATGGGCGTGACGTTTACCTCGCCTGCGGTACACTCGGGCCCGGCCGTCCGCAAATCTCAATGTCAAGACAACCGAATTACACTGTTTGGGATTGAACCGTTTTGTGTCTTGTGGTCCTCACGAGTCTGTTGCGGCGATGAAGAAGCGTTGAAATTGGTCCATTATGGGATCTTTGGGCGCTAAGACCAGCGGCACGCAAGCGATTTCTGACAGTTTGTGCAATTATTCTTCCAGCAAACATCTCCTCACTGGTGGAAGTTGCATTAACAAATTTGTTCCGAAGATGACGTAATCGTTTTGCTTGATCTTCCCGGAGTGAGTTTACAAGTGACGCCCCGGCCTCGGACGGTCGGCAATTCCGGTTTGATGCACAAGATTAAAATTATTTGTCGTGAGCAATTAAAGGCTCTTGCAGACTGACCAGCCTCAAGCCTCCCCATAGCATGTTGACATTCTTGATATGAAAGGCGTGCCATTTCCAAACCAACATTAAAATGAAATGTTCAATTTGTTTTTCCAGCTCACATTGAATGTGCGTGTTCAGTTTAAAGTAAACATACATCGAATGAATTCATGAATTTGCTTTTTCACACGTGTTTTCATCTTTATAAGCTACAAAGTAAATGTTTGTACGTGAACTTACAATTTCACGATATTAAAACATTCACATTGTTTACTAACGTTTAATATACTTGTAAATTTATTTGATTAAACAGAAAGTTTTCAAATTTGCTGAGTATATTTGAAAATTGTCCTAAAATATAAAACATAAAACGTAAGGGGCCAAAGAATATCCAGTCTGGCCTATCCTCAGAAACAAACAGATAACAAAACAAAACAAACAAATAGATTAATAGCTGTGAATATTATATGAATGTACAACTGAGTGTCCTGTCCTACGAGACAGAGACCTAAAACGTACTCTCAGCCTGACGCCTCACAGTTGCCAGTCACCAGCCACTCGATCACGACCTTATGTGTCACGTGAATGTGATGAGGTTGTTGGGGTATACTTCACTGCTGACTAAACCTACTGGCTGGCACAATGCCAGTTATATACCATGCTTTAGAAACGACGTCATGGGGGGTTATAACACTGCAGGTGTGTTTGATCACATCTTTGATACTCTTGACTTGGTTAACGTCCCCATCCAAAAGAATCTGGTAAAAGGGATGCGTAAAATAGTAAATTGCAGACACCATGAAGCTTTGATTCTCCTACTATCATCACCCAAATGCGCAATGTGTGCAAAACTGCAAATCATTATAAGAAGTTTCTGCTACTAAAGCTTTGAGTGAGTGAGTGAGTGAGTGAGTTTAGTTTTACGCCGCACTCAGCAATATTCCAGCTAAATGGCGGTCTGTAAATATCGAGTCTGGACCAGACAATCCAGTGATCAACATCATGAACATCAATCTGCGCAATTGGGAATCGATGACGTGTCAACCAGGTCAGAGAGCCTGTACTCAGAATGTGAATCTTATCTAATATTGTTGTGTATTGTGCATAGACAACTACAATATAAACAGCAATACGTATCCATTGAAGAATTCATTGATGACAGATTTTTTTTTTTCAAAATACCAATTCTAATGGGTTCTGTTCTCAGTGTTCTGTTCATCAGTTTTTGTGGTATACGTGGAAGAAAACGATTTATTCTGTGTTTTAGAGCGTGCATTCTGTGTTGTTTTAGAAGTTCTGCTCAGTGTGCTTGTATCACACAAAACCATTTGTATTTTTCAGACTGTGTCCAAAACATGGCTGTTATTAGATGTTGCCGACGGCAGTTCGATTTGAATCTCATAACAGTCGAGCCAGTTTTGTTTCTTTACATGATCGGACTCTTTCTGTCAATTCCAACCTTCCAGGCATTTGTGTATAACAAGGTCTGCATTGACAAGTACAACGAGACTTTCTGCGGCAGCCTGCGCAACCAGACATTCCAAGAGGACCACAAAACAGAAGAGGATTATGTCCAGTCTGAGACGTCCTACTTGATCTTAAAGAGAACAGCTGTAGAACGTGTTCCGGCATGTTTTATTGTACTGTTTTCCTTGGATCCTGGGGTGACAAAGTGGGTCGGAAACTACCTGTAATTATACCCAGTGTGGGGACAACGTTGTCTTACATTGGGTATATGATTCTTTCCATTTACCCTTCAAGTAAAGTGGAGTATGTGATGATCGCTGCTGTAGTAAATGGTCTCTCTGGGAGTTTTACTGCCCTGTTGATGGCATCGTACAGCTACGTGACGCACGTTGCTGATCCAAAGAATAGAACTACGCGAATAGGAATCGTGGAGGCTGTTATCTTCTTGGCTGGAACAGTTGGAGTCTTCACATCGGGAGTCATGTTGGACAATACAAGCTTCACATTCGTCTTCGCCGTCATGAGTGGATGTTCCTTCTTAGGACTGGTATACGCTGTCATACGTTTAGAAAACCTAAAGGCGAGCACAACAAGACGGCTAGAGGGTGAAGGTTTCTGCGAATATTGGTTTCTGGGATCTGTCAAGGGAGTCTGGTCGTTGTGTGATGAAGAAGAGGCAAGGGAAGAGAACTCTCTATATCATCATACTGATTATCATCTTCAACCTCTTTGTTATCGGAACAGTGAGTGAGTACAAATTGACTTTTATTTCTTAATCCTTATTGTTTGCGTTTGCTCATACTAAAACACAGGTCACCTCTTTGGCGTGCTGCAGGTGAAGCGGACATCCTCCTCCTGTTCACAAAGCGAGCTCCACTCAGCTGGTCACAGACAACTTTGGGTTACTATCAGGGTCTGGAGAACTTCGCTCGGAGTTTAATGCTGGTCACAGTTCTGCCTCTGGTTAGGAAGTTGAGGAACACCACCGTAGGACTCTGGGGTTTGATCTCCAAAGCCATCGGTCTGGTGGTATTGGGACTCAGTACACGAACATGGCACGTCTTTCTAGGTAAATGACAACTGCTTTAAGTGCACAAATGTAATTCATCCTTCTTAGTCCTCATCGAGTAAATAATTAGAAAATACAAAACATATAGTTGATTGTGATTCACAATAGTGAGTGAGTGAGTTTGGTTTTACGCCGCTTTCAGCAATATTCCAGCAATATCACGGCGGGGAACACCAGAAATGGGCTTAACACATTGTACCAATGTGGGGAATCGAACCCGGGTCTTCGGCGTGACGAGCGAACGCTTTAACCACTAGGCTACCCTACCGTCCCTGATTCACCAGATGGTTGCATGTCCTAGTATGAGCATCAAATGTATCTGTCACACACGCCACTGATGTGTAAACGTTGTGACAGCAATCAATTCATTTCGTTTCAGTGACACTGCTGTCCATGTTTCAAGGCTTTCCAGCAGCTGTTGTTCGGTCACTCTTGTCAAGTATGGTCAGTCAGGCTGAACAGGGTAGGGTTAAGAACAAACATGATGTTGTAAAGATTGAATAAGCAAAGCTTGGATCACAATGGAAGTAGTACTCTTATATGCTAACGACAGAATATAAGTCAGTCTCGGTTGTCTCCACTTGGCGTACAGGACAAAGAGATGTGAACATTATCTAAAGGATTGCTGGCAAAGAATGATGATAACAGGTATCCGACTGAACAAGGTAAAGCTTGTATCCCATTTCTTAGGCTTAAACATTCTACATATGGTCAGCCATATATTTAACGAAGTGAGGGTGATAATGTGATTTGATGTTAATAATTAAATCAAACAGGACATCTGGTGTTTTATCCTCATGTCACCACAAACATCAAAACTGAATCAGAGCAACGGTTTTGAATGTTCTTTAAATGCAACAGACGGTTATTAAAACATATACTTAGTATGCATTCCCTGTTTTCAATATGTTCATCGTCTGTTTACAGGGCGCTTGTTTGGACTCCTGGTTTCAATGGACAGCATTGCTGTTGTGGTGGCATCCCTGATCTTCAACCAACTCTACCCAGCAACCCTTGATATCCTACCTGGCCTCAGCTTTATGGTGGCTGCTGGTCTGTGTGTTGTTGCAGCAGCCATTATGCTGTGAGTGGTCATTTTACCTTTATAGCCAAAGAAGGGTATTGACAAAATCCATAAAATATTAGTAGTATGTTATGCCAGGCATTTAAAATATCGTAAATATTTTGCATTTGGTCATGTTCCTTCTGTACTTGAATTACAGATGGCTTCATTTTGATATGAGAGGACAGGTATTGGTACTTACACAAAATGTGACAGGAGACACAGAGGACAAAACAAAGGTATGCCCTTAGTAGTTTGTGAAAATGCAGAAGTGTATACAATGTACGTCCGGTCATTATTGTTTCAGCTTAAGCATCTCAGTGCACCACACACCCCCATCGATCGTGAATTGTATCAGAAGCAGTTAATCAACCAGATCTCGAAACCGCGACAAACGAGACGCCATTTCAGACTCACTAATACCAAATGTCGGTTCGAAGTATAGGAACTCCATACAGATGGACGGGTATTAGCTTAACAGTCTAAAACAATCATATACGTAGAAGTTTCTGTTCGAAGAAGACACCTTCACCTGATCCCTTAAATACTGGATTACAAATATAACACAATTTTCATACTTCATGACTTCAGCTAATTTATTAAAGAGGAAAGTAAACAATATCAGACTTGGAATACATCCTTGACGAACACGACATGACGACACGAAAGGCTGCGAAATGCTCTTGGTATCATCACTATTTGATAGTGGCAAATCAAAAGCCTTTCTGAAATCAGTGAAACTACAGTTGTATCTTGTTTTGGGGCCAATATATATTTGTGCACAAAACCTAGTATGTGAATGTTATCAGATTTTGGAGTAGCTCACACGAAAACCAGCTTGACAGTCAAATATGTGTTTCAGAGAAAGTGAATGAGGGACTGTATGTATAGAAACAAAACAAAGAAAGGTGCATTTGTAAACAACTATGTTTATTTTTCTTTTGTTTCAGATGACACTCAGGTGGAGGCTTCGACGACCCACATGTAATCATAATCAGTCATCACGTGTCGAGCAAATGTCAGATGTTTTGCCTATAACATCCGAATATGTCAATAGTAATATATTCGAGCAGTACACAATACTCAGATCGGGTTCAAGTATCAACACAAAGGGCTAAAAAAGAGAAAAACTGGGTTTATTTAGATATTTATGTCACTCTCTTTATTTTTCTCAGTTCTTTCAGCCTGCTTATCTTGAGCATAAATAGTACTTCTTCTCCCTCTTGTATTTTCGAACAAATCTGTAGAAATCCCTGCACATGTGGGTGAATGCACATGACATATAAATTATTGTCTCTGAGTCTCATACCCGTGGAGATCCAGTTTAGAATTAGTCTTGACTCGTCGTACGAGGCTGACGGGATCAGGTGGTCAGGCTCGCTCACATGTCATCGTATCTCAGTAGCTTAGATCGATGTTCATGCTGTTGAGCAATGGATTGTGTGGTTCAGACGCGATTATTTACAGACCGCCGTCACATATAAAGGAAACATTGGTGAGTGCGGCATTAAACGACAGACAAACAAATCTGGTGCCTCTATTTTGGAAATAATATTGAAGAGTTCATTATTCGTGTTTATTCTTTTTATACTTTCCTCACACCGGTTTGTCTTTAAATTATATTTCTCAATTTCTTATTAATATATTCTTTATGAAAAATCTTGAAGTTCCCAATTATGTAGCTGTATGTCCCTTTAAAGATTAATGTGTCCTTGTAAATGTGTCTTGTAAAACCTTTATTACATTTTAAGATGCTTCAACATGCGCACATTGAAAGGATGATCTGGCTTTGGGTACACGTTTTGTGCTCATAAGCACATCTATATTCCCCTCTGAAGAAACTAAAGAGCAGCATTTCTAATTCCTTGAAATGTGAGCAAATCAGTATTAATGACATTCTTTTGGATATATTATTGACAGCTTTATATCATATTATACATTTGTCATCAAGTGTAGCATTTTTCAACACAAAAGTACCTGCTTTAGCATCCACTGTGATATTACTATTGTGTAATTCTACTTTGCTATATGGGAAGTATTCGACAGTTATGTCCAAACTGTAATGTTAAGACAGTGTCACCATAATATTATTATTAAGCTATTTTAAAAGTATAGTAAAGGAAACGCTGAAACGTCACTCTATGCAATAAACGAGAAGTTATCGTATCCGTTTTTCGTCGTTATTCACAACGTCTTTCTCAAATTCATGCATGTGAACACGGTAGGGGTAAAATTCGGAATTTACAGTGAAACGTGTCAGTATGTTGTCTATACATTTCAATGATGAAAACCAAATTGAAAGATATCATTGCAAATTCAATTAAACGGGTCTTTTTACACACGGCATTTATCACTTCAGGAACTGCAACAAAGTGTGGGGTAGACGAAATGGTCCTTTTCATGCCGATAATGACCAGGACGATGTTTTTATGGCTGCTCAGTAATGCTGTGGGATGGGGTCACTGTGACTTACAGCTTAATGGGCAGTACAGGGCGGGTATTGTTACTGACTGCGTCCAGCAGGAGAGCAAGAGCAAGGCCAGACTTGTCATTAATCAAACATGTACAAACTCGACTTCACACTGTGAAAGAGCTTAAGATTTGTAGAACCTGTCTTCTTTCTTGTTCATATGTCTGTTGAGTTCCTCTCTGGCTCTTTTCTTCATATAAGTTATGATGACACGCTAGCAGCCTCAGCAGTCACCTTCTACTCACAGTAGTAGATTAACTCTCTGTTTTGACAACTAATAAGTTGTCCCCACACTAACCCCACGTTCACACCTTCTTAACGAGTTGTCCCGGAGTGGCCCTGAATTTGGTTGTAACGTAATAGACAGGGGGCCACTCTGGGAATACACCGAACTTGTCTACTTGGACGGCGCCATCAGAAACTATTCTCAACAAATGAACCAAGCCGACATAGGACGTTTGATTAGGATTATCCTTCATTGAATCCGGGATTGTCTTGAGAATAGAGATGGATTCACGAGATATCAATGTGTTTGATTTTCAGTGGGAAATGATGTGATGTACAGTAGGGCGCTTCGGCCAATTATCAAACAAAATCTATGGTCATCTGACCTTCAAAGACTAAGGCAAATGATAGTCAGATGTGACTATTATTTTAAATAGTTATTTCATTTAAGATATAAATTATCAATACCTTTTAATTGAATATTCCCAACTCTTTCATAATATATTTGTCACTCAAACTACACCATCATAAACTTCATCTTTGATGCCATGGGGGGCCTCTACATGAAAGACATTTCTCTTGTCAGGTCAGATTGTCAATATGATCACTGATATTGGTAAGTATCGTCTCTTCTGAAGATGTCCTTGTCTTACCTGCTGATTTCTCAGGTTGAAACTAAAACTTTGACAGGGGAAATAGTCCATAAAGACCATGGTGTGACACAACAAAATAAAATGAACTGTAGTTAATCATTGTATTTCTGAAATTGAGTGAGTGAGTGAGTTAAAATTTATCGTCACATCGGCAATATTTCAGCAATATTGTGACGAGAACAATTAATTGGTATACATAGTAAGTAATAGTAAATTATAAAACCTGTCTACGAAGGACAGTAAAATAACTAGATTATCACAGAGACGAAATTAAAACTAGTAATCAAATCTTAACCAGTTTAACTATAGATGACAATACAAATATAAAACGGACTATAGATTGCCAACAACTGATGGTGGATCACCATACTAGGGACCATGGGGACTTACAGTACATTTGCTTCCTGCATGGACCTAGCTGGATTTACACCATCCCTTTGGCTATTAGCAATTTTGGATATTCAAGCCACAAATTAAAAGAACACATATTTTACGATTAAAAATAATAGTAGATTTAAATTTACATTGAATGCTTTTGGACTTACATACCCTCTCAGGAGGACAATAATTTTACAATACTTCAACCCCTTTGAGGGTACAGCCACTAACAATCGCAGTTATTAATCTAAACTGCCAATAATAATTTTAGTTATCTATTTACAGACCATTTATCAAAATGTATCTAGTAATTCTATTTCCTATAAAATCTCAATGATGAAATGATAATTAACATTAAAAGACCCTTAACTGTCTTTGACATTGAAATACCTATCCCTTGTAATGGAAAAATCAATACAGTCAAGCAGGACATGCTTGACCGTGATTCTTTCATCACAAAGGGATGCAAAACTGGAGGATCCTCACCTTTAATAGGTATTCATGAGTATATCTCGTATGACCAATACGACATCGTCGCATGATGACCTCTTCAAATCTGGACTGACAACCCAAGTAGGTGTAACCAATATAGGGTGTTATTTCATGTAATTTATTGATACCTACTTGGGTGTCCAACTTCTTCTGCATCAGATCACGGATGTAAGTTCTAATGCTAGCTTTATAATCAGAGTACGGGATAAGAAGTAGTGTCACAGATTTGTTGAGTGCTGCCTTGGCAGCAAAATCGGCCATTAATGTTCCCAGAAATGCCAACGACGCTGGGTAACCAACAAAGGACGATGTCGCATTGGCCAGTAGCAAGATCATTATATAATTCAATAATTTCTAATAAAAGTGGATGTATACAAGAAAAATGTTTTATAACCTGAAGACAAGAAAAGAGAATCTGAAAAATGATATATTGTTAAATATTTAGGATATTTAGTAATATATTTAAGCGCTGTAAGTATGGCATTTGCTTCAGCTGTGAAAATAGAACTATTGCCTGAACTATTGCCACCATCCCATCTGTAAAATAAGGATTTGTAGGTATTATATTTACTTTTTTGATTGATTATATTCTTGTTTATATTGTAATTCATTGGTGTCTGATGTTTTAAACGTTGTCAGTGTTAGGTTAACTTCTGGTCTTACCAATTGCCAAGGAAGAGAAGAAAGAAGCGGGAAGGAGCTATATTTTCCAGCTCAATGCCGGCATCAGAAATGAATGGTATAATTCTTAGCCCAAGAGGTGGAACAAGAGAAGGCTTTTGTTGTACAAATCCTCATAGAGATTGAGAGACACAATTATATGCAGGGTTAGACATATTTGAGTATAGTTTAATGAGATACTGTAAAGATAATTTGATAGGTCGTTGGTTAAGAGATGGCTCATCGGCCTCAACATAGAGACTGTCAACAGGAGAAGTTCTGAAAGACCCAAGACAAAGTCTTAGACCTTAGTGGTGCACAGAATCTAATAGTATTAGGGTTGTATTTGCAGGCTCCACCATAAAACGATGGAGCCGTAATCTAGTTTAGAACGGATGAGTGATCTGTATAAGTGTAGGAGGGTAGTTTGGTCCCTCCCACTTTGAGTTGGAAACAACTTTTAACAGATCAAGTGCCTTCAGGCATTTAGCGTTAAGGGATTTAATATGAGGCAGAAAGGTTCAATGTGAATCGAAAATAACACTCAAGAACTTGGCCTCCTTCACAACTTTGATGGGTGTGCCATTTAGAGATAGTTCAGGGTCTTTATGCGGTTTGTATTTACGTCAGAAATGTATACAATTAGTTTTGTATTTACAAAATTTAAAGCCGTTTTCAAGACACCATGTATTTATTTTTGTTTAAACACATCTGCATTTGCCGTTCAATGGTATGCATATTTTTTACCGCGACAAGAAATATTAAAATCATCCACAAAAGTGATCCATCAATTGAATCATTTAAAACCTTTGATAAACTGTTGATCTTGATACTAAACAATGTTACAGACAAAATACTGCCTTGCGGGACACCCCTGATCCTGATTGCAATGGTCAGACAGGGTTGAACCCCTCGGACTTAGAAATTGCCTGTCATTTAAAAGTTGGATATAAATTGGGGCAAACGGCCTCGTAATCCAAAGGCATGTAAATCTTTTTAAATCCCATGTTTCCATGTTGTGTCGTGTGCTTTTGTAAATCGAAAAGATCGACACTGCATGCCTGTTTATTAATTATGGCATTTTTCACAAAAGATTCTAAACGCACTAAATGATCGATGGTACTACGGTTTTAACGGAAACCACATTGTATATTAGTTATAAGGTTATTGGTTTCCCAAGTACCAAACAAATCGATTGTTGATCATGCGTTCCATGGTTTTACAAAACGCAGCTAGTCAGTGA